CATTCCTCAATGTGCGAGGTTCGTTTGCCGACAGACCTGCCGTCAATCTGCCCGATTGGCTGGCTGCAGGTGGACGCCTACTGCTATCTTCTCGTGCAGCAAATGCTGGCCTTTCACGTGGCGGACCAGCACTGCGGCCAACTGGCTGAGGGGGCGCGTCTCGGCCACCCGCCCGACGGCACAACGGCCGTCATATTGAAGGCTTACTTCCTACAGGCCGGCAGCAATGTCGTCTGGTATGGGATTCACGACGAGCTAACCGAGGGCACGTGGCAGTCGCTGGACGGATCGGCCTGGGGCTCCGACTGGCGGGAGGACCAGCCAGACGGGGGCACCCACGAAAATTGTGCTGATATTCACACAGGCACAACGGGAATCAACGACAGGAGTTGCCAAGATAAGCTGCATTTCGTCTGTCGGCTGCGCAGGCCAGCTGTCTGATGCGCTCTGGCTGTGGACGTTCTCTGGGACGCATAATCAGAAACATACTTCGTTCTTAAATTCCCAAAGTATTGTTGCCCCTTGGCTTCGCCTGTTGTACGTCATAATTTGGCTGCATATTCGATTACGCTTGGACACTTATGTCGTTAACCCCAAATCGCAGTTTGGGGGCGAAAAAAGCGAGCTCTTGAACCTAGCCTATACGTACGCAAATCTGGCGCTAACGTGAACCGCAAATGTAATGGCATTGCCAATAGACGTTCTTGTGTTGATTCATTTAAAGCTTATGCACATACGACCATTGATTCATACAACTAACACAATGGCACGCACAATCAGTGCTCAACATCCGCAAAATGGCTGCACATAGACGTACGTAACGACTGCGCCCAAACACTCTTGGTTGGGCAGTGTGCGTGATATAGTGCTCTTGGAGCAACGAGAGAGGCAACAGCCGGGCATGACAAGACGCCAGCGACGCTACTGGATGATTGCTCACGGCGCTCTTCTTCAAATGCTTGATCTGAACCCGAAATGTCGTTGAAATACAAATTGTCCAGCAATTGAAATATTTGTTTCCGTTCGATATGCTATGCTGCTGTATTATATTGCATTGCATCTTTCATCCGTTCACGCGTTATGACATTTCAGGACTAGCGTCCTTATGTGCAAAGTATGAGACAAAAGGTTACAACTCAACGCAAACACAAGTACAATACACACAGGAGCAGCGCGCAGGTGCATGCGCACAATGCAAGTGAATGGCGCCAGTCCGTGGAGAATTTCTGAACAGTCAGTGCAGATAAGCACAGAGCGAGCGGCTGTCAGGACCTCAGTGCTCTCAGCGACGCACGAAACCCGCACAGTGTCGGACGCTGAGTGACGGCCGGAGGCAGCTGGTTCCACGAGACGGCAGCACGGCACCACAACCCCTATGTGTGGTCGAGGGTTTGCGCCTCGGCTGCTCCAGACCTTCGGTTTCGGGTGACCTGGTGGCCCTGAGAAACACCGCGGGCCGAGGGACAAACACGTACGAATATTTAGTATCCAGCGGGCTGAGCTGGTTGTGAAGGGCTCTATAAGCTGTAAGATGGCCCCTCTCCGACCGACCGCCGAGGACCGACCCTCTGCCGACGTTGCGCCGCGGTCGCCATCCGAGCACTGAAGCTCATCATCTTTTTTATCCCAGCTAGCTTAAGTTTGGTTCCTCCACACCACACGGCAATGCTGTATTTAATATTGGTAAATAAGTGCGTTTCGATGAGCAATTTTAATATTTTCGGATTAAAGTGTTTGCGGAATCGATAAAGTGATATCGGAAGGGCGTTGCACTTTCCGACGATGTGGTTGATGTGAATGTCACAGGGCATGCAAGGGTCGAGGGTCACAGCCAACAGTCGCACAGACGACGAGGGTTTGGTCATCGACCCAGCTATACTTTGTCGGAAGCCTAGCTTCGTTGACGGTTTCACGGGCTACGATTAAAGTGAAATCTTTTTTTTCTGGGCTCATCTCGAGCGAATTTGATCTGAACCACCGTTTTAATGAGTCCGGGTCAGTCACCTTTTGATGCATTCTACAGCCCCGAGCACGGCGTCCTCGGTGCAGTGACAGGCCATGTACGCGTGTTGGTCGCGGAATGACATGTTGCGGTCACACATGTCACTATGGACATCACCTATCTACATCGTGACTGGTAGATCACCAAGAGATGCACCCTTATTCGGACCTACAATTAACTACCGTTCATATAACAATGACTATATACAATAATCAAGTCATAAAACAATATATAGGATAGAATCAACAAATTGACACGATAATGATTATATGAACAGCATTACGAGACACCATGGGGGAACTCAAGCTTAGGGATGCTTGAATCAATCACCATCAACAAAGCAGACAGTACATACTTTTAGATGGACATCAAAACCAGGCTTAACTATGTCTTCGTCTTGTTGCACAAAACATTGACATGAGACCCCCACTGAACTAGCAGTATTGTGTCCTACCTTACCACTGTCGCACAGGCTAACTTAGATGTTCCCTCCTGCACATATTTTCGCACGCATTTCCACTAAGAGGCACATATTCACAACTTTGTCACCATACTGAAGGGGTCTCCCTTACAATCGGAGGCCTGCACTGCCATAAATACTAGTTCGATACTACAGACTCCAACAGACTGCTCGGCGATATTCCCGTATACTGGCCTAGCACATTCAGTGTCTTCCCTGCCTTGCACGCAAAGCTGGATTAGGAGGTGATTAGATCATCATGCAGCCTGCAGCCTATGTATGTTAGACATTTTTATCAGTTAAGGTGAAAACTGAAATTGACTCGTAGTGGACATATTATAGTGCAATACCCTTAATTCCTCAGGTGCGACTGTTATTCTTGTACGCTCTCCGTCAATGAGCATCACGTGTTTTCACCACTTAAAACTTTCCTGCGAAGCAAAAATGCGTAAATGTCACTCTGCTAAGCTTTTGACATTGCACATGCACGTGCCTGAACACTGACACGTTACATGGCTTATTCGTCTAGATAATGATATTCTGTGATGAGAAGCTACGAAGCCGTGGTAGGATGTTTCCACAGGCATAGGCCGACGTACATCCTTCCAGGTTGAAAAGGCCAGGGGATAATAGTCATTCTGATTACCTTTTCCAGTCAACTCCAACACAGGGCCAATGACACTTCTTCAGACTGTTACGGGTCTCAGCGCTGCCCAGTCCTCGGTTTCCGCGCCCCATGCCTTGCGGTGGTTAAGCGCCAGGGACATGCGGAGCTGCCCAGTCCTCGGTTTCCGCGCCCCATGCCTTGCGGTGGTTAAGCGCCAGGGACATGCGGAGCTGTCCAGTCCTCGGTTTCCGCGCCCCGTGTCTTGCGGTGGTTAAGCGCCAGGGACATGCGGAGCTGCCCAGTCCTCGGTTTCCGCGCCCCGTGCCTTGCGGTGGTTAAGCGCCAGGGACATGCGGAATGCGCATGGGAGTGGTCCTTTACGAGAACGCCAGCTATTCAACTTATGACTTCCCTTCCATTTCTTTTATTCAAGTTCCGTGATGGTTTTACGGCCCCCTTCCACCTATCAAAAGTTGAGAGCGCCGTCCCTGTCCGTTGGTTGAAAATGAAGATAGGACTGCAAGGTCAAAGTAATGCAACATGCACCGAGGGGTACCAAATCAGCTCGCATATCATTTACGGCACCCCTCAACCCATTGGCGTCCCCAGCATTCGTTAGATATCCATTTCAATGCAGTTTATGATATTTTCATTTCTAAGCATTGCTGACCACAGCCCCTTGGGCTTCTTTTCTCCCTCGCTGAAGTGACACACCAGCTAGATATTAGGGTTTAAGATGCGCGATCAGCATGGTGAGAAAGCGCTAAGGGCGTTGTTTTAAGCGTTCAAGTCGATGTTTAAGTCCTTTCTTATTGTTATGTTATCCTGGCCCCTCAAAACGCAAATAGCTAAGACTAACGAATGCTTAGACCTTTGTTCACCCACTAAACATCATGAATTTAGACAAGAATGACACTACTGACCTCGCCTTGTACCGGAGAGCCAGACTAGCACTGCGAGCTCGCACTTTAAAAAAAATTATTATTCTGGAACATCATTATACTCAGTCCCACCCGCAACTCCTTGTGAGAAACTACGATCTCGAATGCAGGAAAACATCATAAAAAGACTCGCCGCTTACCCAACTTTTGACCCGTCGTGGAGTCAATGCCTCGTAGCGACACCATTTTCATTTTTGTTTGTTGGTGTCACAGGAGAGCTGGCGGCCCAGTGGTTGTTTTAAAAAGCTGAATGGCAAAAGTGTCCCCGTAGATTTTAAGACATCAGAGGCTCAACTGAGCTTTCCCATATAACTCTCGCAAAATGTGCTGCACTAATGCCAGGTTTGGAGAAAAGAGAAGTGAAACGAAAGTATGGGTGATCACCGCCTTTTTTAATTGGTGCCGGCACCAATTACGAGTCAAGGAAAAATTACGATCACCGGGAAAGCCCATCCAGACAGGGTAACCAATGAGCGGAAGGTTCATGAGCCTGACTACGGTTGGTGTGGCCTAAAGGGAGCTACAGACCTGCCTTGCTTTGTTTTGCATTAGATGTTGCATTTATCAGTCAAGATCAGGTCGCTGAGTCGACTTTGAATGACGAACATGCGGATCTCGTCAGGGGACGAACTTAGCTTTTAGCGGAGGAAGGTGATTGAATGACGGTTGGCATGGGGCTCGAACGAGCGCTTTGCTGGCGCGGGAAGGAGTTTGCAGCCCCAGCAATATGCGCATGCGCAAAAAGGCGTCTTTTATCGCTACATTCATTGTTTTCAACATGGAGAGGCAGCCTAAAAGCACAGTGCCAAAACGGAAGCCTTCGGTTCAAATTTTCCTTATTCGCGACGCATGAGTAATGTATATACATGCCGAAACTTGTTCCGGTCAATGTAAATACTTGCTGCAGAACAACGATTTCTGTGGACTGGCTAGAGCGCAGGCAGCTAAAAAAAGTTCATTGCTTCCAGTCAAACTACGTTCAAACACACATTCCTTGCTCAGCTATATTTCAAAACCCTTAAAGACGTTAAAGGTCAGCTCTGTTTTTACACGTGCAAGATGTCATGCCGTGCATGGCCAAAGAAACAAACTTAGTCTACCTTAGCCCTTGCTGAAGATGCGCACCGATGTGCATGTGATGCCATTCATGCTGCCCGTGTCACTGGAGACACTGAGCTGGTCCTCGAACGCTTCGGTCTTAGCAAACCGTGACAGACACTGAAAACTGAAAAGGCAGTCTCTGACGTGCGAACTGCACAAAGGAGCACCTCACAGCGCCAAAGCGAACATGAATGAATCTCCCGTCAGTTTGTACTGTCATAAGCATGCTGAGTGATCTGCATAAGCACAGCGCCATACAAACACTAACAAGACTTTTTTGGTGCCCTGTCTGCAGCTATGACTAAAACACCGGCAATCGAAACTATATCGCTAGCGATAACACACTTAAATCTCACCTTCGCGTCCACACTGCACTGCAGGTGTCGTTTCGGCCCGGTTATCAATATTCGTTCGTATATGTTCTTCCGGCTGGTCGACCGATTCTTCTGATATTCCGCCAGTGTGCATTTTTTCATTTCCCGACCACCGCGTCGCTATCTCCAACATCGTTAAATCTCTGGAAGAAAGAGCAGCGGCTATCCAAGCGCAATTCTCCCTTCCTTTTCTTCTCCGTTTCCTCCTTCTCCTCTTTCTCCTGCTCTTCCTCTCCCTTCTTCTCCTCCTCCTCCCCCTCCTTCCCTCCCTCTCTTTCTTTTTCTCTTTCATCTTCAATTTCCCATCTCCCATCTCCAATCTCTAATCTCCAATCTCCGATCTCCGATCTCCAAACTCCTGTTTCTTGTCTCCCATCTCTTGTCTCTCGTTCTCTCTCACTCTCTCTCTCTCTCTCTCTCTCTCTCTCTCTCTCTCTCCTCTCTCTCCCTCTCTCTCTCTCTCTCTCTCTTTCTCTCTCTCTCTCTTCTCCCTCTCTCTCTCTCTTTCTCTCTTTCTCTCTCTCTTCTCTCTCTCTCTCTCCCTCTCTCCTCTCTTTTTCCTCTCTCTTTCCTCTCTCTCTCCCCCTCTCCCTCTCTCTCCCTCTCTCTCTCTCTTCTCTCTCTCTCTCTCTCTCTCTCTCTCTCTCTCTCTCTCTCTCTCTCTCTCTCTCTCTCCTCTCCTTCACTGTACCGGGGAACATGCGGCGGTAGATGACCCCTCCGGGCACGAGGGCGCAGCATACCAGGACACAGATCAGAAACATCAGCATAGCCCCGAGGGCGAAGGTCAGCAGCTGCGTCGGTCTGAAAATGCAAGGACAGCTTCGATGTCACGCAGCGCAGAAAAGAAGCTTGTTTCACACAGCTGAATGAAGATGCTTCCAACCGTCCTACTCCCAGGGGCAATGGGAATCCACCATGTTGTTGGGGGATATCAACGTTTGGTTATTTTTCAAGTCAACACCCGTGAAGTCGACGTAAACTCGTAGAAACTCGGAGAGATTAGCCCCCTCTGAACCTCTAATCCCACGTGCCTGCTTGAACCCCCAAATATCGCCCGGATCAATAAGAGTGCAGCGCAGGTTTGATATGTTGTCGTTGATGTGCGTGCAGGATTAAAAATCCTGGCTATGTCACTGCGTCACTGCACGACAGAGGCTCCATGTGCCACGACCATGGGTCTCGTGCATCGCTGCAGCCCCCCCCCCCCCCCCACACACACACTCACGTGTAGCGGCAGTGTCCCTCACGTGTTACGGCGGTGCCCCTCACGTGTCGCGGCAGTGCCCCCCATGTGTCACTTATGTGCCACGACAGTGCCCCTCTCGTGTCGCGGCCGTGCCCCTCATGTGTCACTTACATGTCACGACACTGCCCCTTGCGTGTCGCGGCAGTGTCCCTCACGTGTCCTGGCAGTACCCTTCATGTGTCACGACAGAGCCCCTCAGTGCAGCGGCAGTGCCCACATGTGTCACTTACGTGTCACGATAGTGCCCCCCCCCCATGTCGCGGCCGTGCCCCTCATGTGTCACTTACGTGTCACGGCAGTGCCCCTCATGTCTCACGGCAGTATCCCTCACGTGTCGCGGCAGTGCCCCTCCCGTGTCGCGGCTGTGTCCCTCATGTGTCACGTGTCACGACAGGGCTCCTTACGCGTCGCGGCAGTGCCCCTCATGTGCCCCTCACGTGTCACGGCAGCACTCCTCATGTCTCACGGCAGTATGCCTCACGTGTCGCGGCAGTGCGCAGGGTCGTGCTGACCAAAGAACTCGTGCTCGGCGCAGCAGTAGGCGCAGTCGTGGCGCACGTGACAGCAGAAGGAGCGCTCGGCTGGCTCGTGCGGTAGCGGGCAGCTCCAGATCACGGCGCCCGGACAGCAGACTGACAGGTTGGCGGCGTGGCACGACTCCTTCGACCCGTGCTGCACCGGGAAGTAGAGCCCGTCGAGCAGTACGCGACCTGCCGGGCAGAGGGCGAGGGCGAGGGCGAGAGGGTGCGTCGAGGAGTGTGGGCGTGGTCACGCCGCTTCTCCCTCACGAAATCCCAACATAATACGACAGGAATGAGTTTATCGTGCCTTGACAAACATCTGAGCCTGGATTCATGTTATGTAGATGTCACACGGGCAGTGTTCTAACCAACTGTGGCATCGATAGATGACTCGAATGAAATTCCTGTCACACACACTTGGCCAACTGAAAAGTACATTCATGTAGAGTTCCAGACGACATGCAGTGAGGCCTGCAAGTCGGCAGCTTCGCTGTAATGCGCAAAGACAGATGGCGTTCACTTTCATTCACGGCCTCTCAGCAATGGTTTCGTCGGCGGTAACTTTGCCAGAGTTATGCACCTATGCTCGAGAGCTTCACGTTGATGAATGCTGCCAGCGTGAATTGGAGGCCATGCAAATGAGCCCATTAAACAAGTTGAGCACCTCGTTCATCTCCGCTGCATCGGAGATCTCATACGGTGCCGCTGGTGTGCTTTCCATTTTTGTGTTTGCAATGATGCTTGAAACACACTGTTCCTTTGTCGGTTGCGGCGCGCGTGCTGCCGCCGCGGGCGCAGACGAAGTGTTGGTAGTAGTGTGTAGAGGATCAGGGGCACCGAAGTGTTGGTAGTGGTGGGTGGAGGATCAGGGGCACCGGAGTGTTGGTAGTGGTGGGTGGAGTAGGGTGTGTCATCGAATGGGTAAATCTCTTGGAATCATCTGAGACAAAGTTTTCCTTGGCACACGGATTGATAACAGACTTTGAGGTCTGTCGCACCGCATCAATGTTGATATTCGTGAGGCGGAAGTACCCTTTCTTTGATAGGCCAAGAAAGCCGTGTTCGATATTAGCGCTACCAATTTTCCGCACTGGGATCATCCTCCAACAAGCCTCAAAGCTGCCGCTTTCCACACTACTGGTACTTGGTGGATCAAGTATGAAATAGATCATGAAGAGCACCAGCAAAACATTGACAAATAGCTTTTAAACTGACTTTTTAGTAAAGAACATTAATTTTTAGAAAAACCCAAAGGTGTACAGTTATGAAAATGCTCCAGCAGACCGGGTTAGGTCCAAGTTCGTTAATGCTAACGGATCTTTGTGATGTTAATTTGCAATTTATGTGGTTTTTGCTTGGGAGATATGAGTTTACTACTTAAGTTTTCCCGTTACTTAAACATCTATTTTGAACAGTTACATGCGCAGGCATGCCGAAGGTGACACGGTCGCGCACCAAACATTTTGTGATATGCCACCCGACTCTACTGTCCCACCATCAACTGCCGACTACGGGAATGCATCGAGCTACATCAGGTGGCTCAGCGAATCGAAGAGGAATCTCACTAACACTATCTTCAAGACCGCGACGGCAGAAGTCAGGGTACTGTGGAACAACGAAATGATCTAATCTAGGAAATTAAACAAAATCTGATCACACTAGGAAAGCCTGTTCATGATCTAAAATACGTAACAAAATTGATCGAGAGGGATTGATAGTGCTAGTGCTGACCCCGAGCCTGCTCCGGGACCAAGTGGTCTCAGCGCTGGCGAGTCAGCAGAGAGCACGGATTCTTACACGGTTCCGTACATGGTAGAAGGTGGCGACGACTCTGAGTGTTCGTTCCGATTGAGACCACTGTCCCTGTGCATTATAACGTCAACGATCCGACTAATACAGGGTCTGGCGGTTGGCAGCTACGGCGGCTCAAACCGGGCCGCCGCTGCTATCATCAACGCCTTTCAACAAGACAGCAGAGACGGTCTGGGTACTTGAAATCAAATATCGTAGATCCTAAGAAGATCTGCTGCGAAGGAGACAGAACGAAAAAGGAGACGGCTCGTTAAGATTTTGAAGCAATCCACGAGTCAAGGTTGACCATCCTCTACTCCGACGGACGCGAAGGCAGGAGCTACATGAGCCACACGGAGCCAGACGAATGCCGTCGAAAAACACGTGGTTGTCATCACTGAGCCAGGCACCTGCTACGTGACTCATTTTACGTCCGAGTTCGGCCGCGCCCTGCACTTGTTCAACAAGCTACAATCTGTGAGCCCGTAGTGCGACGGTCACATCAATGTGCTCGGCTGCGATGGCACAGCCGCCAACACCGAAACGATCGGCGACGTGTTCCGGCTGTTTGAGCTGGCCACTGAGTCACCCGTACACTGGTTCATCTGCCAGCTGCACGGCAAAGAGCTGAACCCCTTCCATCTGCTGCTGAGCTTGGACGGCACGACCACAGGATCGAATTTTTTTCTGGACCCATCGGCAAGACCTGTGCCGGAGAGGTCTGGGAGAGGGACGTTGGGGCATTCTAGCCTAGGTTGGGGCACGTGCCAAACCTACCGGTCGACCTGATTCAGCAGCTGATCACCAACCAGCAGCTGTTGTACCTTATGGCCTCCAGCGTTCAAAACGGCTCTGTCTGAAACGTGGCAGCCCAGCGGCGAATCGGACCATCGAACCATGTCAGGTAAATATGAAAACACATTACCTTCGAATTTATAGCAATTAGTGTTTAAAGTTCATCAAGTATCAATTGATATTTCATGTGCTCACCATGCTCACATACCTTGTGTCGTAGTGTGTCGCATCATGTGATGGTTGGTTCATGCTTACTAGCATATTTGTTGATATGTATTCCGTCATATTTAAGGACTCTGGATATCGGCATAAGAGAAACACTAGAGATGCGCAATAATTATTGTGCGATGTAATGATAAGATAGCAGCGAATTGTTCTAATATATTCGCTTCTGTTTTCAGATGGTCGACACTGGCCGTTGGTCTGCTCCTAGTTCACATCTCTACCGAGACTTCCAGCAGCGCTCTCAAGGACCTTGTCCAGTGCGTGGTCGGCCGCTTTGTTTCGGTATGGTTCGCCATTCGGCAAAACAGCGGCTGCGACTTTGGCTTACGCAACTTGTTCCAGAGCATCGCGCTGCTCCGCGACCTGCCACGGCACACATTGGCCACGGTGCAGCCAGTCCTCCAGCGTAACGTGTACTGGGTCCGTCCGGAACAGCTGCTGCTGGACATGGTATGGGATGAGAATCTTATAGTCCGCGAACAGGCGGTTCCGATCGTCGGACCGCACGTGGGTAGCAAACCCGGCGTTTCCTACAGCCCAGGGTCTTCGCCATTTCAGCGGTAAACGTCGAGGCCGTGAGGTACACCGAACTGATTCCCTGGCACGGACCAGTCACACAGACTCCACTGTGAGACCTTGCCGACCGCGAGCTGCGAAACAAAGTGCAGGTACTGCTGGCCATCTTGCCCTGTCAGGTCCACACTAGGAATGCGAAGCAGCGCCGCACTGCCGAGGACGTCTTTGGCTGGAGCTGGAGCTTCGGCAAGATGTGGAGCCCAGCTGCGAAGATATTTCTGCTACCGTTCAATCTCTGCCAACAGGCGTTTTGGGTTTCCAGTCTGTGAGCAATTGCTGTTTGGGCCGGTGCATCGAATACACAGGCTCGGCAACGAGCAAGATGTGCATGGGGTCACCCTACCTCCCCCCTCCCTCTCTACGTCCGTGGTACAGGCTGCAGAACCTACTGTATGCATTAAGTTGCACACTAGACAATATATTCTGAGTTGTATGCTATACGTAGTCTTGTTTGCATCATGCGGGTTGTCTTAGAGAAGTGAAAGTCTAAAGCAATGCTAACCAGCATATTTGTACGAGTTCATACCCAACAGCACATAAAGTTTCCACCAAATGACAATCAATCGGGCGATGTCTGATCTGCATACTAGACCTTAGACCGGAAAATTCTCGTGTGACAGCATAACGAGCGCTCGGTAGCCCCGCTTCTATACGCAAAGGTATTTTGTGTCGCTTGCCACCCGCGGCTTGGTGTTACCTGCGGCGGCGGCCGCCGCCCAGCATGGGGTGACTGCAACGCCGGGCGTCGATTTACGGCGATATTTCGATCGACTCGAGCCTCACGAACTTAAGTTTTTGGGAAGAACTTTTGCTTTGCCGTGTACTTTGGACTCCTGCGCCAAATAATTTTTTTGTCTCACATGGTTTTGTTACTGATGACACACCCTAGTGTGGAGGATCAGGGGCACCGATGTTGACAGAGGGCTCTGCTGGCGAAAGGCCCCACTCCGAATTTGCCCGACATTATTACAGGGATAACTATTTTGGGGTTTTACTTTTGGGCATTGTTTAACTGAAACAGAAGCCAGAACCTACCAAAACTTTGAGTTATCCCTGTTTATAAATAAGTTAGACGAGTGAATCGCTGGTATCAAATGAATCCCTCGAGTGATCCACCGGTGCTATCAATTTCAGAATAGTTGTTTGACGCTTCAAAAATTGACAGCACCTGGGGTGTTGCAGGAATTCTTCGGGGTTGTTAAAACTATAAGTCCTAAACGTTTTGAAAGAGTGGCCTTCTTGGATCAGATCCCAGGCTAAGCAGTGCTTGACATGTTAGGCCTGACCCCACCATTCGATTGTGATATTCCAGATCAACGGCAGAATATTTGGTCAAAATATTTACTGTTACTTCATCCTCGGCGCGGTGCGTCCTGTTCTCTGGTGCCACCTAACTTTTAGCGAGGCCGTTGCCACTGGCCGCAGGCCATCCTGTCAATGACAAGTACCGAACACCTGAAGCGATTCCTGAACTTACTTCCGATCCGACCTTCCGATCCACCCGCTACCGTTGGGCGGATCGGAAGGCCGGACCGGAAGGAAGCTCCGACCACCTGATTCATCGAGACGGGATAGCGCGGACCTCGAACATTATCCCAGGCCGACTCTGAGCTCCTTGTCAATACCGGACCCTTGTTAGGCACTGTGGTTAGGCACTCTGGTGACTGACACATGAGCCACTCATTGACTTAGGGCCCCGACCAACCCAAATCGAGGATCTCGTCCCTGCCGTTGCTTGGGAAATGAACCATAAGTTCCAGGCCTGACCCTGGAGTGCAATCTGGTGACAGATGTTTCGTGCGCCACGCTCATTAAGACTACCATAGTAGTGAGTTTCGCAACATGGGATTGATGAGGATGGTCAGGAAAAACTAGCGCCAAATGCACTATGAAGCATGACACTTCCCGGCTTTGACCCAATTTCCCCTCAGTGACGTTATGGAGTTGGAGTCCCCCCCAAACAAAATACAAAATGCAGACCCGGTCTTGTACGTTTGCTTGCTCTGCCCCGACGAAAGACAGTGTCGTTGGCATCATCATGATTTTGTTTGGCGTCTATCGTCAAAGCCAGGTTTCGATAATCGACATAAAGTCGATGTTAGGTGGCTCAGACTTTGTTGGACTATAAAGCTTCGGGAGCAGAGTTTAACTGAGTTGATTTGCGCGACTTATAATGTCTGCCATGGAAATCCCCGCTGATCGCCGCAAGGCGGCGTGCAGGCGCATCACTCACATTAGGCATGCTCGACAAGGCTAGTGCTGGTGGTCATGGTCGCACGATTACCGCTGTCGTTTTAGTCGGCTGTTGTCGATCGTCAGGTTTTAGTCGGCTTTTGTCGATCGTCGGGTTTTAGTCGGCTTTTGTCGATCGTCAGGTTTTAGTCAGCTGGTGTTGATCGTCAGGTTTTAGTCGGCTTTTGTCGATCGTCGGGTTTTAGTCGGCTTTTGTCGATCGTCAGGTTCTAGTCAGCTGGTGTTGATCGTCCGGTTGAAGTCGGCTGGTGTCGATCGTCAGGTATTTGCAACTTTTTCATCGAATATTCATGTTGCTATGAGAGCCGGCACATTTCAAGGGTTCCTCCGAATGTAGGCGGCTAATAACTTTTTTTCTCAATAAGACGTCATAGCAACGCAATGCAACATGTTGCGGTCTGTATGACTTAAACATCGTTGAATAATGCCAAAACACTCCCACAATATTAAAAAACTAGATTACAGTAAACCATAGATATAAATCGTGTAGTTAAAACATGCGGCATACAGGAAAAAACCAGAAAAAGCTAACTAAACACGAAACGACAGCGGAACTTTAAAAGTGTGCCTACCTCAGTCAGGTACATTAAACTGGACATGACGTCGCAATTTCAATTTTCTTTGGTTCTTTTACCTGTGAAACAATTGACGGGAACGTTCTTAAACGCAACATAATTTCGAGCTTTTTTTGCAATGTCCTACATGAACTGGGCTCCAGAAGGTTGGGGGCCTAACTCGCAGTTGAGGGGCCAGATTTAAGATGGGAGGAGCAGTGGCCGACCAGAAAGAATGCAGATCGGCACCCGTGGAGCAGTGCTTCAATACTCAGCCTGTTGGGTGGCAGGGATATCAATATGTTTCATGCTTTAATGCCCCAGGCTTGGGGTTTTCCACCTGTTGCCCATTTCCCTGCTCAAAATCGCCGCCCGCATTAGCAATCAGCATCAAACCGGGCGGCGGCCAACCCAACATCTAGCAGCCTCAGGCTTGACAGATGAGCCAGGCAGGTCAAATGTCTGGATTCGGTGTCCAAGGGCAGCGGATAAGCTCCAACTAGCTGTGTGCGGAGGCCGCCAGAGGGCCAGGATTCTCGTAGCATGAATTTATATTTACATCCTGAGCCCAGTTCCTCACTGACTTATGACCCAGGCTCCGCCCACTGAGGTGGTGTCATAGATGCACGCCAAGGAGAAACGCCTTTATTCCAAATATGGCTCAAGTGAAATCAGCTGAGCCAACCCCATGAAGGCACACAGCGCACAGGAATGTCGCACTCAAATGTCAAATGTCGAATGACAGCTATTGGTAAGTGATCCGTAGCCACACCCATCATTATCGGTCATACTTCGACATGAGATCGACACCTACCTGTTTGCTGAACACACAAGCCCGTCAACAGCACATTGACCGTTGTCGTGCGCTGCTGGGTCAGCACCGACGGCTTCGTTGTCAACAAACGCACTTACTTCGCATTTCGGCCGGGTATGAATGAGCTTGGGTGGTGACGTGATAGGCAAGACATGGGCTTACCCCGAAGTAAGGAATGAGCTTCCTTGGCTAATGAAGAATGGGAGACTGGACACCCGGCTGGATGCATTCTGAAATACTGCCTCAGAGGGACCGGTCATCGTCAGCCACTCGTCGACGATGGTCCCCTCCCTGACACAGCAGATCCTCTAATTGGAGCAGTTGGCCCCGGATCGTCGCGAGGGCCTTGACTGACGTAAAGAGCTCCTTACCGGTGTAGAGGAACAATAAATGGCACAGGGACCACAGTTTGACTTATAGAGCTCTTGGCTGAAACGGGACAGAGAGCCCTTTGTTGGGGCCTGGGGCCCCTGGCTGAGACAAGACCTTCCATTGTCTCATTCGACAATTCCCTTGACCCTTCTTATTGAGATCAGACATTTTCCGTGTTCCTTCATGTTTCCTTCGCATTATATGTAACTGAGGGCCCCGAGGCCCCCGATTAACGCCAGAGGCCCTCTAACATTTCAGACCGCCCTGTCCCTGTTCAGTAAATAAGCCTGTGGACGGTTCGGGGCCCGTTGGCGACACAGAATCACCTGTCAGACTTCATTGCTTCAGGGGCCTAACACCAATACAAAAGACCTTTAGTGACACTCGTGGATCCTGACTTGGCACTTGCTGGGTAAAAAGGCCCCCGGGGTCCTTCTCGACACTGAACCGACTATTCAGCATTGGTGGCCTCTGACAGACATGTGTCCTATGGTCCAAGGGGACCCGATCGGTCCAAGGGGCCCTCCAACTGACGACCGCGGGTGCGGCCCTCCGTGATGGGGTCCTTTAATGCGACTGTCGGTCGGTATTTCGAGCCCTTGGTCGTCGGTCTCGAGGAAGCCAAAATGCCACCCTGGGAGCTTAAGGGAGGAGGGACACGTGTCCTCTCTGCCCCCCTCGCTGCCCACGCCTCTGGTTGCACCCCATTATTGGGTATGTGCTATGGTTATTCGATGCTTCTAATATCGCATGCTTTATATAAACCATTTCACGCCTGTAAGTCCGCCCATATCTTGTGCGCATGTCGAAAAAACCTTAAAGCGGAGGTACTGTATGAGTAAAAACGAAAAAGTGACATTTTTCTTACCTTTCGGTTGCTTCGAGCAAATGGCGCTTCGGGGCAGTGCAGCTGATGCCAAAATTATGGACACTAACGCTATGTTTTGCTCAGTCCGCGTCATGTTAGTTGTGCCTTTCGGTTGAGACCCTTTTAAATGAGTTCTTTGACCTCACAGGCCGGCAGTAGCACGGCTGAAAGACCAACGCGAGCGCAGGTATAAATCTGCCGGTGATTTTCCGGACTGTTTACTAAACTGCGATAAGCATAAAACAAAGCAAAAAGTGACAAGCGTTTGGCATGGAAGTTGAACTGGTTTTGAACCAAGCGAAACCCAACCAAAAGTAAAACCAGAACCAAATCGACTAAACTTTGGCTTACATGGTTTACACTTTGACTTGAGGAAATTATACTCTTGCTCGAAAAACACGTGACGGCATACTGAGCATCTTCGTTCCAAGGTTTCATGTCTACCTGGAATCAGTGTGTATGCTTGATATAAGCAAGAAAGGCCCTCAGCGAGTAGTTTTTCGACGTTATGAAATTGAAGTAAAACTGTATAGCCTTTGGTCGGCCCAAGCTCATGCTTATGACCATTCACTTCAAGCTACCAAAAGAATAAACTGTAGCTTGATGCACTGCTGTATTAAGTTGTCACTACAAACATGGTGCTTATATGTTCCAACATCTTACTTCGACTGTTTTTTTTTTTTACTGTCGTGTGACGACTGTTGTGACTTAAGTGAGGAACCTTAGCGAGGAGCATTATTCACATTGATAAGACAGTATTAGTAGCCTTATTCCTCGGAGAAAAACCAGGAAAATAGAGATCTAGTTGTTTTGATATTTTGGCAACATGCCTCATTCAAAACACCAGCGGAAATGAATAGCGTTGGAAACCAACATAACTCACAGAAGTGAATTCACTTCTGCTTTTGTTTCAATAAAGGTATGTTGCCGAAATATCAACCCAACTATATCTCCATTCCCCTGTTTTTTTCCGGGGAATAAGGCTACTACTACTGTTTTATCTATGATTCCAACATCTTCACTAATCAATTCATTTTTTTTTGCACCTTGACAGTGATTTTCGATACCATTCCCTTAACCAATTTTGCATGGGCACGACTTCTCCTGTGACCGGATCTTCTTCCCTTCCTTCATCCAATGTTGATTTGGGTAAGCAGTGTTGGTTTGAGTACCCCTTTTGGGCATCTCTTTTGGTATTGTTGTATTACCACTGATGCGCCGGTCTCGCTCGTCATTTTTGTTGTCATTGCAATTTCATTGGTCGGTTTCCCTAGCAGATACAAGCAATCTGACTATAGTTAACAGGAAGAAGTGAAATCCGGGGCGGCAAAGCGCAGTAAGAAGCAGAAAGTTAAATGCATCACAGCAAACGCAAAATGCAATTCAAAATACTTTACAGCGACAAATTATTGCCACGAAATGGATCATTAAGTAACATGTCATTTAATTATTCGCGATCGTTGTAAGCTAGAATTACGATGAGATTTACATTAGACTTCCACAATGTCTCATGACATGCAATCCACGAAGGCCCCAAGTGTATAAAGCCTTTTCTGAGTACATCACATCATGCGTTTGGATAGTATTGGTGTAGGAACGTTTCAAAAAGTGTGTGTGGGGGGGGGGGCAGGATCAGGGCATACTTCAGGAGCTTTTTCTGGGAAACAAGCCCGATGACCAGGATAGAGCTGGAGATTATTGTCCGCTCTTAATTCACATAACATTTTGGAAATAATAAAATGTCATTGTTGCTATGCCAGATATACATCTAAAGCTGTTTCTTACTGGCCAAAATGTTGCCTTTCGACTAATCTATGTCATTCGGTGCACAATGCTTTCCAGCTCCCCACGTTTATTCCTCCATTTCAACATTCTTTTTCCTGGGGATACGAAGTTCCACGAGTGGGTAGACAATTTGGGCCATTGAGGAGGCATCTACCTGCACAGTGTAGATGCCAAAATGCGACCTGGATAGAGGCTGGTCAGAGTTTTGAATGCGAATCACTGGGCCATGGTGCGTCTGAATTTTCATGCGTCTCGATTTCGTGGGCTAATTTTCTAGGGATATCATTTATCGCAGTATTTTAAGCGTAAACAAATTCGGAAGCTTCAAATACTAGCTGCCAAAAACAAGGTTATCTTCATCTTATTGTTATTTTGACCTTGTAACTAGAACAGGAACAGAAACCAGAAGCTTCCTCAAAGCCTAGTCGATTTGTATGTAAGCCCGTAAACTACAGAAATCAGGCGTTGAACGACCCCATGGAAATATCACCTGCGCTGTTATTTAAAATGGTTGAGTGGACTCTTTCCAAACCGATCAAATGCCGAAGCATTGTCGGATTTTCTTCTATGAGTTCTTCAGCCATATTAAGAACGCCGCGGAGGTAGATTGTAAGTCGAGACGTGTAAAAATGTGTATTGATATGGACAAGCCGTGCTTGTCTGGAAATTTTCAACATTCAGTCAGAATCGATTAGCGATACAAATTATGTAACATATTTTTGAACATGCGCGCTCGCAAAGCTTAACAACAAAAGCACTGACACCAGGCACTGCAGTCTCCGTAGGCCGCGCAGCGTCCGCCTAGAGGCTAATAGTGAGCCGTAGCCAACGGGTGGACGAAAATGATGCCGCTCTGGAAAGAAGTACCTTTAAACACTGAAATCGATTAGTGATGCAAATTATGTGACGAAGTTTTGAGCATGCGCGCTCGCAAATCTTAGCGACAAAAGCCTCGATGCCAGGCGTTGCAGTCTCCATAGGCCGCGCATCGTCGGCCCAGCAGCTAATATTGAGCCGTGGCCAACGGTTGGACAAAGTGCTGACGCTTCTGAAAGAAATACCTTTGGACGGTTTTGGATACCACATCTTACATTTCAAAGGTAGTCTGGACGGATATTTCACCTGTGCGATTTTTGGATTGATGATAAGGTCGGATTGGCTCTTACAGTACAGCTGAGTGGTGCTGGAATCTGGTGGTGGAACTGGAAGAGCAAAGGTAGAATGTGTTATTTTTGGTGTTGCTGTAACTGCTTATAGGACAGACTAACCATGGCACCCGCCTCCTGGTGTCACTTGCATTGGCCAACGCCGTTCGGTTTTACGGAAGCTGCAACCCAGGCCATCGCAGTCCTTGCTCCCAGGTTGCGGGAGCGCATGTTCAAGCCGTTTGATGCAATTCATTACACTACTCGAAGCTGCAAAAGAATGAGCATTCTCAGGCAAACATGGAATGACCTTGTTCATTTCTTGAACGTTTGTCTTGCATGCATGAACTATATTTTTGTGAAACAACTCGTTTCGACACTGTTAAATAACAAGGAGACCCCTTATTTCCTTTGGGCAAGGGGGCCCATGTGTAGAACACTAGGGACACATTATTGCTTCCGGTCAAGGGCTGAAGGGCCATTCCGTCCCACCACGGGGCGTTTTCCGGTTGTCATTGTGATGACACGGGATGGAATCCCCTGGTGGATCCAGAGTCCCTTAGAGGGATGCATCATATGACATTGTTCTCCCTGACGCGGGAGGCCTTCTGACCCGCGCAGCTGGCTCCGGATCAACATAAAACCCTTATTGATCCGTGTTGTATCATGCTTTGCATTCATTCAGGATAAGTTACTTAGAAAAATTATGTAGCATGGGTTTGAATGCGCGCACTCGCAAATCTTAGCAAAAACAGCCTCGACGCCCGGCGTTGCAGTCTCCATGGGGTGCAATTTTTCTAACGCTTTATTGTTGTAACTCTTTATTACCGTAGCTTACTACAATTAAATTCCTTGGTTTCAGCAGATAATAAGACCGTCTTTTTTAAGTGATCTATATTTTCTTTTTAATGCCTCTGTGCATTAAAGACTTATTTACCAAGTGCGTTCAGTCGAGACAAATCATCTTTACAAAGTCAAGGAAATCCGTCATAGTCAGATCTTTTTTTTCTATTCAGCTTTCTATCCGTTTGTTCAATTAAGAGGAGGTGACGCCGAGGAGGTAATGCCCGCTGACATAGCCGACGATTTTGGCCGTCACTTCGGTCAAGTTGGTCCAAAAATCGCGGCCGAGCTGAAGGCGAGCAGTCACGGAGTCCTCCGGGACTACCGTGTGTCTTAGCCCCACCACAACCCGGCCAGTTTTACATCCTGTGATCTTACCCGAGCTTTAAAGGCTGCAAGTGCGTTGTCTTCCTCTAGAGCTGTTGGAGTCGATGCTTGCGCTCAAACACTCTTTCGCTGCCATAGGACCTCACCGGTTTCATCTAGTCAATTTTTCTATCGTCACTTGCGATTTTCCCTGCGCGTGGAAGTTGGCTTCAGCTCTTCCGCTTCACAAGTTCGGTGCGCGTGACGTTGCCAGCAATTTTAAGTCGCATATGTGTTGTCTGTATATCAATGTGCTCTGTGTTGCTGGGAATACGCGGAAAGATTGTCAGCAGTTGTCAGCCTATTTTGATGTCCACAGCCTTTCAGCCCCTTCACCATATGCGTATAGGCCGCGCCACTCAGCGAAGGACGCCGTGGGTGACGTCACGGAGTCGATGACGCGTCGGATCGACTCTAGCCATGATGTCGCCGTCACCTCCATAGACCTAAGTGGAACTTTAGACGACGTCGACCACTGCGTCCTCCTGACCAAGGTGCAGTGGTACAGCATCGACCCTCGGTAGTTTAAAAGCTATCCTGATGGATGGCAGCAGGTGGTGAAAGGTGGTTCCCTATCACTTTCCCTGTCTCGCGGTGTCTCTCAGGGGTCCCTGGTGGCCCCAATCCCATTCAGCATCTTTGCAAACGACCTTCCATCTGCCTCCGGGCGTCTGACTTCCTTCGCCGGCAATACCCAACTCCTCGACTCCGCCCACCCCGACCACTTGTCCACCCCACAATCTCTTCAGAAGGAAACCCTCCATGCCCTCCAGTCCTACTCCACTGTCAATGCCCTGAAAATGAACCGTACCAAGACGACCTTCCCTCTAGTCCGCACGTCCCCAGCCATAAAAAACTCCTCCTTCCACTTTGACACCTCCAAATTAAATGAGCCCTCTCGCCGTCCGTGAAGATACTGAGCGTGGCGATTGATCATGCCCTTTCCTGAGAGGAACACATGTCCATATTAGTTAAAAAGTGCGACGCCATATAAAGTGCAACACACCCGAAGCTCGCGAACTCCTTATCCAGGCCCATGTTGTCCCCCACATCCTGTGCCGCCTCCCAGTCTGGGACGGAGGCCGCCGCCTGCTATCCCGGCCGAATGCAATAGATAGCGAATTTCCCGGGCAGAGTCGTCTCGGGGGCGCGGGGTCGAGACCATATCTTACCGGTCGAAAGGCCGTTGGGCTGGCGCGGCGTGAGTGACCTTGTTACGCGCCGAGACCGCATTAGCGTCTTCAGGACTTTAAATGACCCCCGTGCCCCGGTGACGGTCCGGTCGCTGTCCATCCCCCGGACCACCGTGAGTGAGCGCATCACGAGATCGGCGGTGACTGGCGCTTTGGAGCTGCCCCCTTTCCGGCCGTCTACGTCGCTTAGGGCGTTTTCACATCGTACGGCCTCGTCCTGGAACCACCTGCCGCCGGCCGCTATGGCTTCCCGGAGCCGTGTGCGTTCATATCTAAGCTTAACCAATGTGAAAAGAGGATTTTGTTTGACTGTCTCTCTCAGGCTCTCGACTTGTTTTCATCAGCGCCGCGTCTTCGTTTTTATCGTTTAACTTGCAACCCACTAACTCGAATCGAACATTAATGCGTACATATGGAACCGTCCGTAGTAAATAAATGACATGACATTTCTTACATGTCCGAGCTCATCTCCGGTTTATTTCTATCTAAATAGTCAGGCTGCACTTTAGCCGGCTTCGCGCAGTTCACATGCTTCGTATAGTCGATTCCCCAATGATTTTGTAGCATTGCCCCTCTTTTACAAGTGCTTATGATGTGTGTATACAGGCACGTATAGTGATATGACAAGCTTTCTATGATTGAATCCTGTTCTTGCATATCCCTACCTTCAACTTGAAGGCAGGATATGTCTTTTGGCTCATAATTCCTTTTCTCCAAGCGCTGAAAGTAGTCAGATCCCCTTCTTCTTCTTCAGTCCGGCTCAGCTGATCTGATCCACAAGCTGGCGGCGATTCATCTGTTCTTCGAGCGACACTCCAACAAAAGCAGTGCGATTCTCGTTGTCTCGGACTGGAGGACCGCTATCCTGCTCACGACCAGCAGATCTCGTCTAAAGTCATGCTCTGCACTGTCTCTCGGTTTGGAAGAACGCTCTCCCGCTCACGACCAGCAGATCTCGTCTGGAGTCATGCTCTGCGCTGTCTCTCGGACTGGAAGAACGCCCTCCCACTCACCACCAGCAGATCTCGTCTGGAGTCATGCTCTGCGCTGTCTCTCGGACTGGAAGAACGCTCTCCCGCTTACCACCAGCAGATCTCGTCTAGAGTTACGCTCTGCTGTGCCCATCTGCTGTGCAGCATGGGTGACCCGCTGCAAAGCCCCCTACGGTTCCGAGCTTGTCCGACTGTCCATCTGCTGTGCAGCATGGGTGACCCGCCGCAGAGCCCCTGCGGTTCCGAGCTTGTCCGACTGTCCATCTGCTGTGCAGCATGGGTGACTCGCTGCAGAGCCTCCTGCGGTTCCGAGCTTGTCCGGCTGTCTATCTGCCGTGCAGCATGGGTGACTCGCTGCAGAGCCTCCTGCGAGCCCGGGCTTGTCCGGCTGGCCGTCGCCAGGGCCTCGGCTGCATCCTGGCCGGCTACCGTGGGAGCCTGGCCGGCAGTGTGGCCGGCTACCGTAACCACTTCCGTGGCAGATGATATGACACTCTCTGCTGCAGGCAACCTCGCTTCTGACCAGCTGTGGGACTCCTTTTTGAACAAGTGACCAATCTGTTCCCCAATGTAGGCATTACCTTCTGTTGCCATGCTTGTCATACTTTCTCCTTGGCTCCTTTCTTCCGTCTGTTTCTCGTTGCGTTCAATAGCGCTTTTCACCTGTTTGGCACGACTTTTGGGCACTTACTTTTCTATTTCCAGAGCACACACGGTCTCTCGCCATCCTTGGTGCACCGTCTCTCACTGTCCACAATCAGCGTACGGCGGAGCTACACCCTTCGACCTGTTCTTAGTCTCCTTTACCGCTGAGAGCTGTTCTGAATCTAATCTGAGCTGGCGGCAGCCTGTCTCTATTCGATACGCCTGCTCCTATGCTTTAACAGGCCTCTTCTGGGCCACCCTATATATCTCCGAACGAGCTCATACGTGAGCCCCGTGACAAGTCGACGATCGATGGCTCAATATGTTCTCACGTGTCACACCGCCACCTATCCCTTCAGCCGCAACACCAGACGAACTTGCGGCAGCTATCGCCCCCACCTACCCCTTCAGCCGCAACACCAGACGAACTTACGGCAGCTATCACCCCCACCTACCCCTTCAGCCGAAACACCAGACGAACTCACGGCAGCTATCGCCCCCACCGGACGCAAAACTGACCGAGATAAACCAACATCACAGCCTTTCCCCGAAATAATCCGAAATCGGGTTGCTCTGAATGCATCACTCGTCATGCACTATCTGACGCTCGGCCAGCCGCCGGGAATAGCTCGCGCTTGCCCGACTGCCGCCCACGCAATCTGCCCTCCCTCCCGTGGGCGCGAAGAATCCGGTCGGCGCTGTAAGCCGGCTCAAGCAGCCAGAGTGTGTCAAGAAGCAGAGCGGTATCGATTTCCCATTGGACGCTATTTCTTCTCCGGTGGGCGGGCTGCGCGCCAATCGGATGTCGGGGCGGCTGCTCCGCGCGGCCGGCGGCAGCTGCGGCAGCGCCCATTGGCTGCCCTGCCGGTCACATGGGGAGAGGGCGGAGCCAAGCCTGCAGGCGCGGCGGGCGGTGTGCCGCGACAAACCGGAGGAGGGAGTCCTCCCCTCGTCTCGGCGTTTTTTTCTCGGAGCCTGACGCCTCCCCGCGCTCCGCACTCCCGTCTCCCTCTTCCTCCAGGTTTCTCCCGGCTCGGCCCAGGCCGTCGACTCCCGCTCTGTTTGGTTTTGTTGATCCCCGCGGCCGCAGATATCAGATTGTTGAGTTAGCTGATTGAGTTTAGCTGCGTCGGCATGGCGCAAAACATCTTGCGGTGGGTGTCCGACACGGTGGACACGTTCAAGGACCGGGCTAAGGACACCATAGACGGACACCTGCCAAATGGCACTGGCGATCCCAACAGGAAGCCACGCGACATCAAGCCCTTGCACTACACAGGTGAGTCGAACAACAACAGTATCATCTTGCGAAGCCAAGCAAATGTCGACGTGGAACTCCAGAATTCTCGGCCATATGCCGCGTGGATAGCTGGCTATTCAGCACAGATGCCGCTTGGTTTCGGTTTTACGTTGCTGCGAACAAGTCAATGTTGCGACACGGGACAGGTGCTGTGCAGTGGGGCATCTTGAGTGTTTGCTGTTGCATACGCTGTCAGAATATAGAACAGTGCTGAGGATTGGTGAAGCGAAACATGACTGCAAGGTGCCGGTGTTTTATATGTTCCGACAGGTGTTCCCTACACCTACATCACAAGCGCTGCCTTATTCATGTACGATATAGCGGTCATTAAAACCCTATGCATTAGCATGGTCGCAGCCAGAATGTTTTAAGGGGTGAGGGCGCAGTTCGGTGGGTATGCATCACGCCGATTCTTAACTTTCTGTCAGGAGCACCTATGGCAAAAAAACGAAAAACACCCGGGCCCGAGAGGGGGGGGGGGCACCCTGCTTAGCAGCACCCCTGTGAATCCGTACACCAACCACAGCCATCTTGAGGTTGTAAACCTCAGTCAGGGCATAGAGTAGGTAAAGATACTTCGTGGGAGAAATCTAACCGAATGTTTCGCAAGGATGCGAGTGCACAGTGTGTTGAAAATGCTGGTGTCCGCCGCACAAGCAGCGCAAATTCAGGCCACAGTCCATTTTGCCAACACATGTTAACGTGCGTTGTAACATCCCACTATTGCCGCACCGTTGCTGGATGACTTTGTTGGCCATCTGCCAACTGAGAGTCACCAACGGCCTTCATCACTGCGGCATGAACGGCCTTCATCACAGCGGCATGCACGCAGCGAGCCCGTGCGCCTGCTATGCGACGGCCAGATGTCGAAGCCTAACTGCGCCACCGAGCCGCTTGGCTGCATGGCTTCTGGTGCCGGCCGCTTCACACTCACACCTCGGGTCATTGCCGGGTCAAGTGGGCTGTGACGTCACTGTGTCAGGCACCCGGTCAGCGGTGGATCCAGACGCCACCAGAGTATTGCAGCGCTGCAGCAGGTGCGCCATGCGCTGCTCGTGTGCCCGGTTCACCTGGGGCGGTTGACTGGTTCACTTGTGTAGTGACCTGAACAGTGAACGGCGCTGTGTGTGGGCGCAGTCACGGCTGCGGCGCCGTGACTGGCCTAACTAGCCCCAGCGATGTGCCAAAACACAAATCGGCCAGGGGATTCGATGCCCTGGCGTCCGCATCTTATCAAGAGAGAGCGTGGAGAGTCACGCGAAAAACGGCCCAACAAGCCAGCGTCCTGAGTGTCCGAGGACCTCAGGAATGGACCGGCACACCAAGCCAGCGTCCTGAGTGTCCGAAGATCTCAGGAATGGACCGGCACACCAAGCCAGCGTCCTGAGTGTCCGAGGATCTCAGGAATGGACCGGCACACCAAGCCAGCGGACTGAGTGTCCGAAGATCTCAGGAATGGACCGGCACACCAAGCCAGCGTCCTGAGTGTCCGAGGATCTCAGGAATGGACCGGCACACCAAGCCAGCGTACTGAGTGTCCGAGGATCTCAGGAATGGACCGGCACACCAAGCCAGCGGACTGAGCGTCCGAGGATCTCAGGAATGGACCGGCACACCAAGCCAGCGGACTAAGCGTCCGAGGATCTCAGGAATGGACCGGCACACCAAGCCAGCGGACTGAGTGTCCGAGGATCTCAGGAATGGACTGGCACACCAAGCCAACGTCCTGAGCGTCCGAGGATCTCAGGAATGGACCGGCACACCAAGCCAGCGGACTGAGTGTCCGAGGATCTCAGGAATGGACCGGCACACCAAGCCAGCGGACTGAGCGTCCGAGGATCTCAGGAATGGACCGGCACACCAAGCCAGTGTCCTGAGCGTCCGAGGATCTCAGGAATGGACCGGCACATCAGTTCAACGTTGATCTCGACACGACGGACGCGCCTGTAAGTGAGCGCAGCGAACCCGGGGGCTAATAAACACATCGAAACTTCATTGTGATGCGAATACGCATCCAGTGTCCTTCCAAGGAGCAGCAGCGCAGCCATGACTTGCCTCTGTGAGGCCGAACCGGCAGAAAGTGACCCCGAGTCATGCTGCTTGCCTAAGTGTGCATTTTGGCAACCGCAAACTATCGCTACGGCGGGTCGCTGGACGTTCTGAGCCTCCTTGGCTTCCGAGCCTCCTTGGCTTCTGAGCCTCCTTGGCTTCTAAGCCTCCTTGGCTTCCGAGCCTCCTTGGCTTCTGAGCCTCCTTGGCTTCTGACCCTCCTTGGCTCTGAACCTCCTGGGTTCTGAACCTCCTTGGCTTCCGAGCCTCCTTGGCTCTGAGCCTCCTTGGCTTCTAAGCCTCCTTGGCTTCCGAGCCTCCTTGGCTTCTGAGCCTCCTTGGCATCTAAGCCTCCTTGGCTTCCGAGCCTCCTTGGCTTCTGAGTCTCCTTGGCTTCTGACCCTCCTTGGCCCTGAACCTCTTGGGTTCTGAACCTCCTTGGCCTCCGAGCCTCCTTGGCTTCTGAGCCTCCTTGGCTTCTGACCCTCCTTGGCTCTGAACCTCCTGGGTTCTGAACCTCCTTGGCTTCTGACCCTCCTTGGCTTCTGGCCCTCCTTGGCTCTGAACCTCCTGGGTTCTGACCCTCCTCAGCTTCTGACCCTTCTTGGCTTCCGAGCCTCCTTGGCTCTGAGCGTCTGAGCGTCTGAGCCTCTGCCCCTCCAAGGTCACAATCCCATGAACAGACAGCCCTGAGCCTGTACACCTGCTGACCGTAGGAAGCTGCGCCAGCCACACGGCAGGCGGGCTGAACAAACCGCACAGGTGCACCTGAACGGACCACGGCTGCGGCGCACCGGTACCGGGCACTCGCCGGTGTCCAGGCGCACACCAGCTGCCGCACCTCCGGCCTGTGCAGTCCGCTGTTGTGGCGGAGCGTGGCCTGGCTGGTGACAGCTCGCAGGCCTCGTGATGCCCCTCGTGAAGAGGAGCCAGAGCCGCCCAGTTTCAGACAACTCTCCGCCCCCGTTGGCTGTTGTGATGACGGATGTCAGATGTGCGGGGCGAGCCAGCTGATCTGAGGTGCGCTGTTGTCGGCGCATTGGTCCGTTAGGTGACGGCTAGCCGCGGACGGCTGCCGCCGGCTTCAGTTCAGGGCCTACGCTGTGTTCTAGCCGCCCGGTCTCGCTGGTTAGTCCAACGGTAGTGAGCTGCTTACGTCAGCTATGCTGAACTGAAGAAGCCACTAGTCTTCTCGGTGTGCCTGACGGTCTTGGACCGGTTGACTTTCCATATTCTATCAACAGCTCTTTGAAAGATCGTCAAACATTTCGACACATCCGATCGTATCAGGGTACCTCGATAGTTTTGGTCTCTTTGGCCACGTCAGCAACCCTGATATTTCCCTTGCTTCTTTGGCCGCCTTAGACAATATGGTGGTCCTGGAGGCGGCCGACTTCTCCAGCGACCGCTGAAAATCTGAAACACCTCCAGTGTGAGGGTTCTGGACTTTGCGCCCAGCACAGCTACGATCGTTCCTAGCCCTACACCCAGCACAGCTGCGAGCGCTCTGGGCTCTACACCCAGCACAGCTGCGAGCGTTCTGGGCTCCTCAGCCAGCACAGCTGCAAATGTTCCTGGCTCTAGCCACCCACCACAGCTGCGAGCGTTTCTGGCTGTAAACCTAGCACAGCTGCGAACGTTCTGAGCTCCACAGCCAGCACAGCTGCGAATGTTCCTGGCTCTAAACCTAGCACAGCTGCGAGCGTTCTGGGCTCCACAACCAGCACCGCTGCGAGTGTTCCAGGCTCTAAACCCACCACAGCTGCGAGCGTTCTGGGCTCTACAGCCAGCACAACTGCGAGCGTTCTGGGCCCTACACCCAGCCATCCTCGCTGGCTGAATTCAGCGCTTAGTCATGGATTGAGACAACCACTATGACGCCGAGTGTTTGCGTTTTCCGGGTTAGAGACTGCCGAGATGCTGGGTGGAATGAGGCCGCCCGCACCTTGATCTGTGAGTTGGTGATTGGCGTTTTCCGAGTTAGAGACTGCCGTCGTTGCCCGTCTATAATGCATGCAGACACACACACACACACACACACACACACACACACACACACACACACACACACACACACACACACACACACACACACACACACACACACACACACACACACACACACACACACACACACACACACACACACACATATATATATATATCACATATACATCACCTTGAAGATCTTTCTACATATTACCCCATGTGTTGCCTTGTTTATTTTGAAACGAATGGGCGACATGCGAGGAAATTGTGCCTTATGGAATCAAATTTTCAGAAATTGGATGCCTAGCGATATATATATATATATATATATATATATATATATATATATATATAGACTAGTTGTTAAGTGTATTTTGGAGGAACATTATGCATGTAAATGAGATTGCATCAATAGTCTTATTCCTTGTAGAATTAACAGGAGAATGCAGAGATAGAAGTGATATTTTGGCTACATGCCTTTACCGAAACGAATACTCATATTTGTTTCGATAAAGGCATGTAGCCGAAATATCACATCAGTGTTCACAAGGAATCAAGCTATTAATACTGTCACTGTCCATATATATATATATATATATATATATATATATATATATATATATGCCTTGCATAGTGCTTGCATACGGGCATAGTGAGGTGCGTTAAAAGCTGTGACACTCTCACACGATTTCTCTGCGGAATATCTTACTCCCTTTTGCCAGCCGCTCGCACGTTACGCAGCAATCGTTCCGAAGATCGTTGGTGATAGCGCGGAGCCATGGAGGGCTGGTATTACCGCAGTACGCGCACGGTTTGTTACCACCGGAGGAGCCAGAATTACCACCGTATTGGAAGCGCCAAGTTGACAGTGGTTTCTGAGGTGATTGATTGCTTAGAGGTGACGTTGTCAAGGGGCGGTCAACGATTGTCTTTCGGGTCAA